AGAAATAGAGGAACACACTTGGGTCAACCAATTACTTGAAAAAATGGACAACATGCAGAAAGCACTGGAAAAATCTACGGAAGCGCATAAGAAAAATGATGGTGTGCTTAAATGCTTCAACTGCGGAAAAAGTGGCCATATTGCACGCAACTGTAACCAGCCAAATAATCCAGTTGGACGTAAACGCAAAGCTGAGGAAGATCAAGCAAATGTTAAATCAAACCAATCGTTAAACTAAAGCGAGCCAGCCGAAAAGGGCACGGGCTGGCTCCCGCAAGCAAATGCCCTGTAATCTCCATTTCACAAATAAGCAGGAATAAGAGTAACGTTACTGTTAGTGTATGTGTAGACGGTAGAAAGCGCATACTGACTGTGGATCGGGCGCATCACATTCCATAATTCGATCTGATCTGGTTGAGAAAGAAGTGAGACCGTTAGCTGGGGCAAAGTTGCGTACTGCAACTGGAGAAGATACCCTAGTTCTCGGAAAGGTAACGTGCGAGATCGTAATTGGAAAGACAGCCGTGTTACACAATTTTATAGTGGCAGATATCGTTGACGAAGTCATAATTGGAGTAGACTTTCTAGCGAATCAAGGAATCAAAATTGACATGAAAAACAGGATTATGTCCTATGGAAATATGGAAGTGCCACTTATGTTCGGTTACGATAATAAGTACAACGTTAGACAAGTAATAACAACAGAGAGCCAGCAGATTCCACCAACATCAGAAGCAATTATTTGGGCAGAAATAGATGGTGACTATGGGTCAAACAAGTGGTGGATTGTTGAGGCCACAAAAGAGTCTACACCAAACTTACTCATAGGCAAAACCCTGGCTATGACAAGACAAGATAAACGTGTTCCAGTAAGAGTACTTAATGAGTGCAATTTACCAATCAAACTCTCCAAAGGAGCTGTATTAGGGCAGTGTCCAGAGATTGAGGCCGTGATAAATTGCGAAATAGGTCTTGAGGAAGATTCCATGGACGAAAACAATATATCGAGCGAAATTAACGCATGGACCGAGCAACTAGAGGCAAACTATCAAACTTCAGCTAAACAACTTCTTCTCAGATACTCATCCATATTTGATAGAGACGATGCCAAACCAGGAAGAACCAAAGTTGTGAAACATTTTATTAACACAGGTGATGCAAGACCAATCCGCCAGGCTCTTCGAAGCGTTCCTTTAGCAAACCGAGAAGTTGTAAACCAGACCATACGTGAAATGAGTGAAAGCGGCGTAATCGAACCATCAGAGAGTAATGCATACCCGGTCCCAGGATCAACGTTTATTTTGGATACGGATGCTAGTGGATTTGCAGTAGCAGGCGTTCTATCGCAAGTCATTGATGGACATGAGAAAGTGGTTGCGTATTACAGCCAGACCATAAGCAAGCCAGAGAGAAATTATTGTGTTACTCGGAGGGAATTACTGGCGTTGGTGAAGTGCATCAAACATTTTCATAAGTACCTTTATGGCCAGCGATTTCGGGTGAGGACAGATCATGCAGCATTAAAATGGCTACTACAATTCAGGAACCCAGAAGGACAGTTGGCACGGTGGATTGAGAGACACCAAAGTTACGACTTCTCTATAGAACATCGCAAAGGTAGTAGTCAAAGCAATGCTGATGCCATGTCCCGCCGTCCCTGTAATCTGGAATGCAGACATTGCTCAAAAGCTGAGGCCAAAGAAGATATTATAGATGTCCGATTAATGACTATAACATCAGACTGGAATCCGGAGGAGCTACGGAAATGTCAGCAAGGGGATGCAGATTTGAAAAGCGTAATACGCGGATTGGAGATGAATAAACGTCCAACAATAGAAGAAATAGCTGCAGAAAGCCCAGTCGCAAAGGCTTATTGGGCACAATGGAATAGTTTGAAGTTAGTGTCTGGCTGCTTGCATCGCGTATGGGAAAGCGAAGATGGGCAAAGTTCACGAACTCTGATGATTATTCCAAAAGTAAGAATTCCTGAAGTTCTCAAGGAACTGCACAACGGTCCAAGTGGAGGACACATGGGTATCACTAAAACCCTGGAGAAATTAAAACAAAGATTTTATTGGGTTGGTTGTCGTCAATCAGTTACGGAGTGGATAGCCAATTGTGTCGAGTGCATTGCTGCTAAAGGGCCACGGTCCAGGAGTCATGGTCAATTCAGGTGCGCCGTTTGAGCGAGTAGCCATGGATGTAGCTGGTCCATTTCCTATCAGTAAATTAGGAAACAGATATGTTTTGGTAGTCATGGACTATTTCAGCAAATGGCCAGAGGTATACGCAATTCCTAATCAGGAGGCGGGAACAGTATGCCAGAAGCTGAGTATCCGGAAAACCCGTACAACTGCACTACATCCGCAGTCCGATGGCATGGTAGAACGATTCAATCGAACTTTGGAAGAACATTTGAGGAAAGTTGTGGACAAGTATCAGAAAGATTGGGATACCCATATATCCTTGTTCCTGATGGCTTATCGGTCTGCTGTACATAAAACAACGGACCAGACTCCAGCAAGGGTAATTTTTGGTAATGATCTTCGACTACCGATTGATTTAAAATTTGGAATTACCGCCAACGGAGGAAGGAATACTAAGGAATTCAATAGCATCCTAGAAGACGAGATGAGGGATATACATGCTATGGTGAGACAGCGCACCAAAATTATGAGCGATAAGATGAAAGCAAAATACGACAGGGCAATAAACTCTGAGGGTTTTGTTGAAGGCGATTGGGTATTGTTATATAACCCACAACGAAAGAAAGGGCTGTCTCCCAAATTACAGTGTAATTGGGAAGGACCATACTAGGTTATTAAACGACTCAATGATGTAGTGTATCGCATACAGACCATTGGAAGACCACGGAATAAAATGAAGGTGGTTCATCTGGAACGCCTTGCAGCGTTTGGTACCGCAAATATGTCTAATCGGGACGATCAGACTTAGGTAGAGGGCAGTGTGGCGAACACAAGTACCAGAACAAATCAGAATTAACGATAAACTGCCAGAAGCAACTAGACAGCGAATTCGTAGTTGCCAGAATGTTCACGTAGCGAACTTTTGTTAAAAATTTACTATATAAGGGCTGCAGGATCGTGCAGCAGACACAGTTCTAATTAGAGTGTTACCGTGTAAAGAGCAATTAAGCTATAAGCAATAAGTTGTAAGTTCGAATAGCGAGCAATAAGTGTTAAGTTGTTAGAATTGGGAATAAAGATAAGTGTATAGCATTAAATTGGGACTTTAATTTAACAATCCAGTGAATGAGCTCAAGAGTGAGTTATAGTTAGACGATTTATCGAGAAATCCGTTACAATATGTAAAACAAATATTGGTAGCATTAAAGATAGTGGCTTTACAACCGTACGACTTTTCAACGAATTCAACTTTGTTATTGCTTTGATAGCAAATTTTTTTTTAAAAAAGAGAATACCACAAGACTCGATAGCACGAAAACTAGAAAAAAATTTCCACAAAAACCGAAAAAGATTTTAAATAAATTTTAAACTAGTTCAACTCTAATATTTTTCTAAAAGTAATGCACATATTTATCATAAGAATATATACCTATGTGCATATGAAGATTTATGAAACCACGATGAAAGTGCAACTTTTTACAGCATTCAATTTTCGGCAATTGATTAATTTCGGATATTTAAAATCACGTTTTTAATGTTAACTTAATAGTTAATAAGGGAAATGAGAATAGTAGTTTTACGTGTTTGCTTACAAAATAAAAAAACCGACAATCGATTAGTATCTATGATGATCTCTATAACTGAAGCGTCGGTATATTCAAAATGGAAAACAAGAATACTTATTAGTTTTGTGACCTGATTACTATCAGGTGACAAATTTGAAACAATATTTTGTGACTAACGACTAGAGACTGTATTGTGAATAGTAACTTGTCACAAATTGAGACTTTACTTCAAAATGTCTCAAATAGTGACTAGAGACTGCTTACTAAATTGCGCTGTAAGGCTTCGGTGCAACCGGGGTTAACGTCCCTGCAAGACTTGCTTTCTTTCACTTAACTTACTTTGAATTCTTGAATGATCAGATGAGCGCTTTGAACGCTGTCAAAACAATCAGCTGATTCGAAAGTTAAAGAAAAGAAACAGACGAAACACGGTTGCCGCTCACTTAATATTTGGTGCATCAAACAAAACATATGTAAGAGTTTAATATTAAATGTTATATTATTATTCACAATTTGTGGTGGCATATATAACTATATCAAATATTTAAAATATTACACTTTCTTTCTGGCAATAAACATATGTGATAAAATTATGTATGTAAATAAAGCAACAAAAAAGTACATAAATAAATACATTTCGCCCAACTGGCAACCATGGTGACAATATCTACTTTCAAATTCGCAGGCAAATAGAACATAGATGTATTTAAAACTTCAAGCGCTTAAAGCAAAGCTACATTTGGCCTCTGTTCATATTGTAACGAATTTCTCCATAAATCTTCTACCTTGTAACTCACTCTTGAGTTCGATCACTGGATTGTTAAATTAAAGTTCCAATTTAATAGCTATGCACTTATCTCCTCTAACAACTTAGCACTTATTGCCCGTTATTCGAGCTTACAACTTCTTGCTTATGTCTCAATTGTTCTTAACACGATAACACTCTAACTAAAACTGTGTTTGCTGCACAATGTGGCAGCCCTTATATAGTACATCTTTAATAAAATTTCCCGTCTAGAACATTCTGGCAACTACGAATTTGCTGTCTAGTTGCTTCTAGCAATTTATCGTCGGTTCGATTTTGTTCTTTCGTCCATGTTCGTCACACTGAGTCTGATCGTCTCGATTAGAAATATTTGCGTTACCAAACACAAAGCTTTTATGTCCCCCATCTCGTCTTCTAAGTTGGTATTAACTTCCGTAGCCGTCCATCTCTTATTGGAGTTAATTCTATCCGTTTTGAATGCGTCCGCCACTGGTTCAGCCTCTTGATTAGGTATTGTGCATACTTCTGGTCATTCGTTGAAATGGTCCTTGACTACCAAAACATTACTATTTCCTGATTTTTTGGTAGGAAACGGACCATCTTCATCCTCGCCTATTTGCTCAACTGGCGCACCCGAATTGTACTGTTTCATCTGGCCATGACTCATGGACCTTGATCCTTTAGCTACAATGCACTCAGCATATTTCGCAATCCTCTCCATAGCTGATTGACGACTACCAGTCCAATAAAACCTTTGCTTCAATTTCTCCAAGGTTTTCGTGATTCTCAAGTGCCCTCCTCTTGGACCTTTGTACTGCACGTTAAGAACTTCAGGAATTTTAACCTTTAGAACAGCCATAAGATTCCAGCACCCACAAACCTACTTTAAACTGCTCCGCTCTGCCCAATTTATTTCTCCGCTCTTAGTACACTGGTTCAACTCCTCTTCATGCATTATACCTTACAATTCTGAACCTTCTTGCAAAGAGTCATCGGTTTAGGGTTAATTATATCCTGCTCATCCACCTGCGAGGATACCTGTGCTGGTATACACGCTTCGTGCTCTTCTAACTGTGAGGACCCTTTTACTGATACACAAGTTTCCTGCTCTTCTGACTGTGAGGATCCTTTTACTGGTTCACACGTTTCTTCCTCTTCAAACTGTGTTTACAACTGCGCTGACATACATATGTCCAGCTCTTTCGACTGTGAGAACCCTTGTACTGGTATACACGCTTCCTCCTTTTCTAACTGTGCGGACATCTGTGCTGCCATATACGCTTGCTGCTTTTCCGACTGCTCATCTTTCATTGATATATAAGGCCCGTGCGCTCCCAACTGTGCTGACAAACAAACCCAAATCATTTTAAATTGTGCTAACATACGTTCCCCATGCGCTTCCAACTCTGCTGACACACGCTCACCAAACGCTTTCAACGCAGCCAAAACAACCTCTGTTGAATATTGAGTGTCTTCCTTTTCTTGCATTCTCGTTGTTTCTTTCTCAAATTCCAATTGAAACATATATTCGTCAACATTAACGTTTTCTGCTTCCATGGCCTCTCGTAAACGTGATTGTAAGTCGGCCTTTACTCCATTTGTTGTCAAGTCACGTTGCTCCAGCTCCTTTTTCAGTTGTGAAATCTTCAGATCAATAAACTTAGCCAATATCAAACAATTCTCTCTTTGGGAATTTCCTTGACAATCCCACTTCTGACACCCATTGTAACGGATTTCTCGATAAATCGTCTAACTTGTAACTCACTCTTAAGTTCGATCACTGGATTGTTAAATAAAACTCCCCAATTTAATAGCTCCACACTTATCTTTATTTCTAATTCCAACAACTTAACACTTATTGCTCGATATTCGAGCTTACAACTTCTTGCTTATGTCTCAATTGTTCTTATCACGACAACACTCTAGAACTGTTTACTGCATAGTCTGGCAGCCCTTATATAGTAGATCTTCGCCTCTAGAACATTCTGGCAACTACGAATTCGCAGTCTAGTTACTTCGGGCAATTTATCGTCGGTTCGATTTTTTCTAGTATGCACGTTCATCACAATATTTTGTGTTATGGATCGCAATCCATCAATATTTCTTGCTACACATTCAATAAACATCGCGATTCTGGATTGCGTTCAATATATATTGAACGTGAAGCAGTCCCCTATAAGTGAATGAAAACTGGTTCATAGGGTTTTTGTTTGGTTAGCTGTTGGTTATAGGAAACAGGTGAACCGGTTAATTCGTCATTTGCTATGAGTTATTTGTTTGGTTATCAATTGGTTACCACTGCCCAACTTATTGATTACCTATTTCCTTATAAATAAAACAATTGAAATTCTTATCATATTTCTATTTGTTGAGTCTTTTTTTTTTTGAAATTTACATTTTTATACTCCATGGTTCTATTTTTATTTTCTATTGGTGCCTAGCAAATCTGTTGAAAAAATACCAAATTTTCTTATCATCAAAACATTGGATTTTCAGATCACATTTGGAAAATATGTACATCCAAATAAACCTGAGAAATCAAATTAATTTGCCTACATGCACACCCTGCGTTTTGTCAAGCAAATTTAATATTTTTAATCACTCCTTACGTAATTTTCTTTTTGAAGGTCAGGCGATCAATCATCACTACATCAAGAACTATCTGACCGGTCGGCAGTCATCCGTCTATATTTCGAAACTCCCTAGAAAGAATTTCTTTATCTTATATGCAGATGAATGTACGATCGACGGCAGGCAATGGAATCGATGACATATGTTCGAAATTAAACAACTATCTTACCGATCTTTCTCACTTCTTCTCTGCAAGGAGCTTTACTCTCTCCCCCACTAAATCCACAGCGAACCCCTTTTTCTACCTGGACGAAAGAGTACAGACCAGATCTTAATATCATTTCGAGTCGGTAACCAGTAGCTCCTGAGGAAGGACAAAACAACGTTGTTGGCAACATACGAGGCAACATCTTCGCTGACTCCTTCCCACTGATTGGTGTACTTGAAGTTAAATGACCACCCATAGCAGATGAAGAGCTCGAGAATCTAGAGTGACCCTTGCGCAACTTCGTTTTGGATACTGTAGTAGGTTAAACTTCTATTTATTCAGAATCGATCCCGACATACCAAATATATTTATATCTTACGGGCAACGAGTGATCGCATGACTCTAACGACCTCTTTGCATGCTAAATGAATCCCTTTCATCTAACAATACTCTCTCTAAAGTCCGGCCCTGTCGAAACAGCACGTTTCCTGGACCCACCGTTAGATGACTTCGATGACAACTAACTTCAACCTTCCCACCTAAGCGGGAAATAGATAACTACTACAACAACACCACTGTCAAGTGGTTAATTGACTCGCAAAAGTTATAATTTTCATTTACATGATGTCAATATCATTTTGTTCGCTTACAGCGGACGTTTTAAGTACTTTATTGTTAAACCTAAAAAAATTGTTGAAAAGTATAATATTAACAATTATTTAAAGTAAAATGTTGCTTGTGCCGTGCTGCTGCTGCTGCTCTTGCTATTGCTATTGCCATTGCCGTTGTTGTAACTGTTGCTACTGCTACTTCTATATAGGGGAAGTAATCACCCTTTCTTTGGTAATCATCATTATCGGAACTTAAAAGATAAAAAAAAGAAAACAATAAAAACGCTTTGTATTACACAGGTACATAAAGCCGCAATCAAATTTAACATTGGAAGCGCTCAAAGTAAAACTTTAACAAATAAATTAAACACCAAAGCAAAAAGACATTACCGTTTTGTTTTAATTTATTTTAAAAAAATTGTATTTGTACAACCAAGCACACCAAAATTTCTAACTATTACAACTATATTTAATACGTTTTTTAGAAACAACATAAAATTCAAGTATTTACTTTCTTTATAAACGCCTTTTGAAGCTATAAAACAAAATAAAATAACATTATATTTAAAAAGCAAATCAGACAAAGTGCTTACCTCAAAATTTTTTTCCAAATAATGGCGGCCGTTGTTGATGAAAATTGGTATAGCTTTATGTGCATCTCTTTCTTACGCGTTCAAAAAATATGCATGATGAATGTTGCTAATTTTGCAATAGAATTTTGAAATTAAAAACAAAAAGTTAGTTTTGAATATGTAGTGGTGTAAGAGGTGAAACTTTACAAGTGTAGTAATGAGTTGGTTTCCTCCGTGTTGTAGGGGTTGTTTCTCGTTTTTAATTAATTTTATTTATTTTAAAATTGTACAATTGGTGAGCGTTGGCGGTACAGTTGTTAAATTAAACTAGAACTTAAATCTAAGAATGCTTAAAACTAGAGTCTCACGGGAAGCAATTCGCAGCTGCCTACGTGACTTCGTTAAATGTGTCCAATTGCTTTCTCTTTCCCAATTTTTCCCGTTTCACGCCACTGCCATTCACATAAAGCGACTAGCGAAGAATTTGCGGCCAGCGTGGGAACGCGGATGGAGGCCGTCCGCGGACTTCCTCATGCTATTAATCATAATTTTTTTGGGAAGCTTTGCGTTCAGTTTCGTTAAATTTTTGATGAATCTTCAAGATAGTGAATACAATACGTCTGAATACTCAAGATGCTCCCCGTGAAAACTTAGCGGCTTACGTGAAAAATTTAGTGGTAATACCTCCGAAGAAATCTGTATTCATTTCTGGATTAACAAAAGGTACCTCGAAAATCAAGTCTTACGTTTCGTCGCGTTTAAAAATTATTGATATCCATATCTGTAAGTTTAATTTCAGTAACAATAGATGACTTTAAAATAAAAGAATACACTTTAAAAATCTTTTATATAGAGCATTCTGGCCACCCAGGGCATTTGTACGCAAATTTGTGCCTAAAATCAGAAATATTACTGAGGTGAGGTCTTAATGCAAAATTAACTAAATTGTATTTCAACAGTACTAATTCATATACGTTCACCTAATTTTGTTAAGATATCTTAAATATTGACTGATACATACTGTATAATGCAAACCGGAAGTTTGAAAATCTTATATATTGTGACGAGCAACAAAATCGAATCAACGATAAACTGCCAGAAGCAACTAGTTAGCGAATTCGTAGTTGCCAGAATGTTCTAGAAGCAATGTAAAAGATTTACTATATAAGGGCTGCCGGATTGTGCAGCAAACACAGTTCTAGTTAGAGTGTTGTCGTGATAAGAACAATTGAGACATAAGCAAGAAGTTGTAAGCTCGAATATCGAGCAATAAGTGTTAAGTTGTTGGAATTAGAAATAAAGATAAGTGTGTAGCCATTAAATTGGGACTTTTATTTAACAATCCAGTGATCGAACTCAAGAGTGAGTTACAGGTAGACGATTTATCGAGAAAACCGTTACAATTGGTGTCAGAAGTAGGATTGTCAAATAAATTTCCAAGGAGATAATTATTTGAAAATGGCCAAGTTTAACGATCCGAAGATTCCACAACTGAAAAAGGAGCTGGAGCAACGTGGTTTGGCGACTAATGGATTAAAAACTGAATTACAATCACGGTTGAGAGAGGCCATGGAGGCGGAAAACATTAATGTTGAGGAATATGTCTTTCACATGGAATTAGAGGAAGAGACAACAATAATAGAAGAAAAGGACGAAGCTCAATGCCCGTCAAAGATTGTGGACATAAACATGATTTTTGCTGCAATATCGCAGATGGGTAAAGAGATGTCAACGCAAATGTCGACACAATTTAAAGAACAGGATAAACGTATGTCTCAAATGGAAACGCGATTGTAAACGCATTTGGAAGAGCTGTTCGCAGCGCAAGATGCACGTTTTTCAGCACAGTTGTCAGCACCGAAAGAGCTCGACGTGAATATGTCAGCGCAGGTATCCTCACAGTTGGAAGAGGAGGAAGCATGTGAACCAGGATCTTCACAGTATGAAGAGCAAGAAGCTTGTATACCAGCAAAAGTGTCTTCGCAGTCGGAAGAATTGAACGGGCGCATGCCAGCGCAGGTGTCCTCACAGTCGGAAGAGGAGGAAGCGCGTATGTCAGGGCAGGTGTTCTAACAGTTGGAAGAGGAGGAACCAGTAAAAGGTTCCTCACAGTTAGAAGAGCAAGAAGCTTGGATACCAGCACAAGTGTCCTTACAGTTGGAAGAGCAGGAAGCGTTAATACCATCACAGGTGGAAGATCAGCATAAAATTGAACCTGAAACGGATGACTCTGTGCAAGAAGATCCAGAATTGGAAGGTACATTACATAAGGTGGAGTTGAACCAACGTACAACGATTGGAGAAATAACTACAGGAAGGCCAGTCACAAAATCATATTGGGCAGAACGGAGCAGTTTAAAGTTAGTGTATGGCTGCTTGCATCGAGTATGGAAAAGCGAAAATGGGCAAACCTTCCGAGTACCTATGGTTGTTCCAAGGGTTGGAATTCCTGATGTTCTTAACGTGCAGTATATAGAAAGGATTGCGAAATATGCTGAGAACATTGTAGCTAAAGGATCAAGGTATAGGAATTATGGGCAGATGAAACAGCACAATTCGCGTGCGCCAGTTGAGAAAATAGGCGTGTATGAAGATGGTCCATTCCCCACCAATAAATTAGGAAATAGTCATGTTTTGGTAGTCAAGGACCATTTCAATGAATGGCCATAAGTATACACAATTCCTAATCAAGAGACTGAACCAGTGGCGGAGGCATCCATCAGCAAGTGGGTAACGAGATTCGGTGTTCCAATGGAGTTACGTT